TCAAAACACACACACACACCCCTATACTATATAACGTGAAAAGAGACAACAGCTGATGAGAGAGATAAACGTAACACTTTTGGAAGCCAGATAGAGGATTGCTGGAGAGTTGGTTTGTAAAACAGAACAAGCCAACCCACCCGTGTGAAGGTAGGTGAGAGTATGAAACCAATAAGAAGCAAGCACAACAGAAAGGCTTAAGAATCTGAAGGTAGGGGTCAAGGTTGGGCTGAAAATAGGAATACTGGTTGAATGTCTGTAAGGAACAGTTTTCACCCAGAAGCCTTCCAAGTATCCAAGAAACTGCCTCTCCTGCACCCCAGCAAGAGATGGGTAATTTACTTTCATAAGATACTAAACCAGACAGGATGTAGAAACCAGGTAGACACAGGGGTTGTACATGCTGAACATTGGCCCCCCACCTCTGTTCCTCATATCAGCTTCCAGAACACAGGCCAATCAAACAAGGGGTCAGAACATTTCTCCATGGGAAACCTGACCCAAGGGAAAAGACCTACAATTACTCAATCCCGTGTTAAGATATTCAGTTAAAGAAACAAACTCATAAATACAGAGAACAAACTGATGGTTGCCAGATGGGAGGTGGGTTGGGGGACTGGGTGAAAAGATAGAAAGATTAAGAAGTACAAATTGGTGGGAATGCAGACTGGTGCAGCCACTATGGAAAACAATATGGTGTTACCTCAAAAAATTAAAAATTGGCCCTGGCCAGTTTGGCTCAGCGGTTAGAGCATTGGCCTGCGGTCCAGAGAGACCCGGGTTCGGTTCCCACTAAGGGCACGTACCTCGGTTGCAGTTTGTCCCTGGTCCTGGTTGGGTCATGCGAGTGGCAACCACTCGATGTGTCCCTTTCACATTGATGTTTCTCTCTGTCCCTCCCACTCTATTTGAACAAAAAAATGGAAAAAAAAAATAAAGAATTGAACTGCCATTTGACCCAGTGATCCCACTTCTAGGAATATGGCCTAAGAAATCTGACACACCAAGCAGAAAGAATATATGTACCCCCTTTTTCATAGCAGCACTATTTACAATAGCTAAGGTCTGGAAATAGCCCAAGTGTCCATCAGTAGACGAATGGATAAAAAAGCAGTGGTACATATACACAATGGAGTACTATGCAGGTGTGAGAAAGAAAGATCTCTTATCCTTTGAGACGACATGGAGGGACCTGGAAAGTATTATCCTAAGCGAAACAAGCCAAGCAGAAAAAAACAAATACCACATGATCTCACTTATTTGTGGAATATAATGAACATAACAGTCTGAGGAATGCGGTAGTCCCAGGGATGTGGAAGTGGGGTACAGACTGACAATCCCCAGAAGAGGGGGTGGGGGGAAGATAAACCACAGAACTTATGTGCATGTATGCATGTACAATGGAGATGGACAACAAAGCTGGGGACAGGGTGGGAGGGAGGGGGAGGGGAGAATCAGTGGGGGGGAAAGGAGAAACATCTGTAACAAAAATAAATTAATTAAATAAAAAAATAAAAATTTCAGAAAATTCAAAGTAAAAAAAATAAATAAAAATAAAATTGTTTATTGGGGTAATCACTCTGTAAGTTATATAAATGTCTAACCACTATGTGTATACCTAAAACTAATACAATATTGAATGTCAACTGTAATTGAAAAAAATTTTTAATTAAAAAAAAGGACTTGCAATTAATTCCCCAGTGTGTCAGAATGCTTCAATATATACCTAGAGTTAAAGGTGAAAAGAAAAAAAATTCCTTTTGTGCTATATTTTCTACTTTGATAACAAGATATATGATATCATTCTTATTTTTTAATACACTTATTATCTTGTTGCACAGTCAACTTACCAGACATACTCACATCCCCACTGATAACAGCACAATTAGCCACAGCATCTTTGACTGAAATACATGGTGCTCCTGCTCTGTTGCTAACAATAGATGTCACCATTGTCACTATTATTTGCTACTATATTTTTATTCTTCTTGCTTTTTGGGGGAACACTTTTAGCCTTTTTTCTTCTTTCATCACAACTTTAAGATATGACATCATTTCATTATAACTATATTTTCTTTTAGCCTACATATAATTTTTGAACAAGTCAAAAGGACATGTAGCACATATTATAGGCCTTACAATAAAATTAAAATATTTATGTTACAAAGAAGTTAGGTTAACATCTTAAGTATGTACTTGTTTCTATTCATAGTAAACCAGTCAGTACATACGATTCACACAGCTCATAATCATGATTTAACCAATTAACTGAAATATGGCTGAATTCAAGATACCACACATATTACACAGAAGTAGTCTATATATATTTTTAAATTATAGTAAACAGTGATTCAAGTGAAAGCATGATCAATCAAAAACAATGTCTAATTTTCAAATTACTCATATTTGAATGAATTCACAACACTCTTGATAAAACAGAAACTCTACTAGAAAGACCCAACTAAGAAGAATATCTAAAGATCTGGGGGTTCTTACATGAATGCTGAAGGCCTAAGACAACACTTTCACCAGGCAATAGAGTGGAGCGGCTAGCACTCGAGTCATGTTTAAACCATAAATCCTGTCTCATATACTTTGGGGAGGAGTAACTGAGATCCTTATCACTAATCACATCGTAGGTGTTTCGTAAAGTAAGCCATTAAAAATCCACAATGGTCCAGCTGGTGTGGCTCAGTAGTTGAGCATCAACCCATGCACCAAGAGGTTGCCAGTTCGATACCCAGTCAGGGCACATGCCCAGGTTATGGGCCTGATCCCCAGTGGGTGGCATGCAGGAGGCAGCCAATCGATGTTCTCTCTCGTTAATGTTTCTCTCTCTCTCTCTCCCCCTCTCACTTCTTTTCTCTTGAGAATCAAAGGGGGAAAAAATCCACAATGAATACAAAGTACTCAGATTATTGATCTTTACCTTGTTACTTAAGCCTAGAAAATATGTGTTTTATTAATATATATTTCGTGGGTTACCGAAGATTAGTCTTGTAAACAGGATTGTACTTTTTTCGCCAATGAGCTGCTTATATACAAAAATTTCTCATTTTCTTTATTTACTACTATGATCTCTCTCATCTCAGAATTTTTTTCTATTATGGCAAAGGAGGATTTTATATGTAGCGACCCCCTTCTAAAGTATTTTCTTTGTCATTATTTTCACATGCTTTAGATAACCGTTTCAGTTTGTTGAAATTTATTCTTCTTTTATGTTGCATATGCCAAGAGAGAAAATCCAACTGTCCTGAACTCCTTCCCCAGAGTGTAACTTTAGCATAGAAAACTAGCAGCTTGAAACAGATCTGTCTCAAAGAGGTAACATCTGGTATTCCAGATCATCCCAAGAGTACTACTGAATCTGATACAGAAACAATCAAAGAAAATAATTTGACTTGGGAAGAGGGAATACTTTTTTTAGTTCTTTCAGAGAGAGCTCATTAATTATAACATTTGTGGCTCAGTGGTTGAGCATTAACCCATGCACCAAGAGGTCACCAGTTCAATTCCCGGTCAGGGCACATGCCCAGATTGTGGGCCCAATCCCCAGTGGGGGGCATGCAGGAGATGGCCAATCGATGTTCTCTCTCATCAATGTTTCTATCTCTTGCTCCTTCTCCCTTCCTTTCTCTCTAAAATCAATCAACAACAAAAAAATTAAAAAGAAAAACTTTTAGCCACTTTTACATTGTAATTAACTAGTTTATTAATTAACTTAGCCAGTCCTTGCTCAAATTTGCAAAGGTTCCCTGGAAGAAGTCATTACTACTAACAGACTAAAAATCATTCTGATATGAATTAGAAAAGAATCCAACATCTGCTAACGCCTAAATAAATATTGGTAACCCCTAATGGAAATGTAGGCCAAAGCATTTTCTAGGTTTAAAATAACTCATGGATAGTAGTGAACTATTTCCTTATTGAAATTTTCTTTGATGATGTTTTTGTATTACTTGTTTCCACAGTAATCCTGCTCGGAGTTGTCTTCCCGAATTCCAGCTTTGAAAAGCTGAAATTTGAAAGAAGTAATGCCACCTCTACAGAAACCATGAATTTCTTATATTTGAAAACTAAACAGCTGCATCTACTTCAGTTATCTGAAAACTTCACAAAACATTTCAAAAGACAAGGTCCATTTTGGTACCTTTATTGAAATGAGATCATTCTCTTTGCCTTTGCTTCTCCATTTTTACAATTTTGAAATAAGCTTAATAATTTATCTTAATTGTCTGACATGTCATCTGTCTCAAGTTTTTATTATGACAGCACAAAGATTTTGAGAAACTGACAAGGCTTGTGTTTCTTTTTCCATATAATAACCAAGGAATTCATATTGTAATTGATTTATATTAGATAAGAATTTAAGCTGCCCTGATCTATCCCTTTCTCAACCAAAATAATTCTCTTATAAAAGTCTACATTTGAAAAATTGCTGATTTAAAAGTTTTTCTTTTTTTTAAATTTTTTCTTTATTGATTTTTAAAGGAGAGGAAGAGAGTGGGAGAGAGAGATGAAAACATCGATGAAAGAGAACATCAATTGGCTGCTTCCTGCATGCCCCTCACTGGGGATTGGACCCACCACCTGGGCATGTGCCCTGACTGGGAATCAAACCCACGACCTCTTGATGCATGGACCGATGCTCAACCACTGAACCACACTGGCTGGCTGATATAAAAGTTTTTCAAGTAAGTTTTTCAATATCAAAAATAGTTAAGTACTGCCCTGGCCAGTTTGGCTCAGCAGTTGGAGTGTTGGCCTGTGGACCAGAGAGTCCTGGGTTCGGTTCCCGCTAGGGGCACGTACCAAACAACAACAAAAAAAATAGTTAAGTATTCTTGGAAAACCGTTCTAAAATAATTTTTGACCACTATAGTAAATCTTCCACAAATTATTTCCTTTTAAGATCTATGTTTGGTAATTCTTTTTACAGCAACTATGATATAGTATAATGTCTTGGAAAGCATGAACTTAATGGTAAAATTGTAGGCATAATGTTAACATCAGCAGATATTTTATTGGTTTTCATTTATGATGGAATTTATCACAAAGATTTTCATTCATTCTTAGAGTACCTACACAGGTAATGTATTCTGTTACCTTTGAATTCTGAGTGTTTAACTTAAAACCACATAATCACAATGCTCAAAATTGTATCCTACTTGTTTTTTTGTTTTTTTTTTATCCTCACCCGAGGATATTTTTCCATTTTTTGTACAGATAGAGTGGGAGGGAGAGGAAGGGAGAGAGAGAGAAACATCGACGTGAAGGGACACATCAAGTGGCTGCCACCGCACGACCAACCAGGGCCGGGGACAAACTGCAACTGAAGTACATGCCCTTAGCGGGAACCGAACCCGGGTCTCTCCGGACCGCAGGCCGACGCTCTAACCGCTGAGCCAAACTGGCCAGGGAAAAATTGTATCCTACTTGTAAAGACGATAGAACTAAAAAAAAAAAAAAAAGTATTAATTAGTGTAGACTTATTTATGACAGTTTTTCCAAACTTTTATTAACATAAAAGTTAATAATTTTATTGACTGCTAGTTGTTAGTTGTGTGTGTTATAGCAACTGCTTCTCATCTCTCGCTCTGTCCTTTGAACAGCATTTAATAAATCCTTCTCTTTTATAAGTAGTTTTATATCACATCACAATTTCAAAGATGCTGTGAAAGAAAACTTTAATGGATTGGGTTTGTTGTTTTTTTTCAGTTAAATTGTATTCATCTCACTCAAGAAATACATAGAATTTTTAATGAAAGTAACTTTTAAATCTTTTAATGTAATTCAGCCCTGGCCGGTTTGGCTCAGCGGTTAGAGCATCGGCCTGCGGTCCAGAGAGCTGGGTTCAGTTCCCGCTATGGGCATGTACCTCGGATGCAGTTTGTCCCCGGCCCTGGTTGGTTGTGTGGGTGGCAACCACTCGATGTATCCCTTTCACGTGTATCCCTTTCACGTCGATGTTTCTCTCTCTTTCTTTCCCTCCCACTCTATCTGAACAAAATATAAAAAAAAATAAAATAAAACACAAAAAAACTTTTAATGTAATTCAAAGAATTTTACAATGGAGTACATTGGATTTTGAATTGTCCACTCTCAAGTGGAATGTACTGTAAAAGAGAAGTTAGTGCTTCCAGTTCTGATTAAACATTTTATTTTAGCAATTTTGAAATACTTATTATTTTCCCAGTTATAGGTTGGTTATTTTACAATTTGATTTTACTTAAATGAAACTGAATTAGTCACCTTAACAAACTCATTCTTCAATAACGGAATAGTTGTTGTAAAAGGGAATGTTAAATAAACTTATTGTGCTTTTTAATACTAAAAAAGAAAAAGATTGTTGGCTTCTCTAAACTACTTTCCCCTATTTTTTCCCTGCACTTACAATTCTTTGAGAGCTAGGGGTGTGTCATAGCCCTTTGTCAACTCTGTCTCACACAGTGTCTATAAGACAGTAAGCCCTCCATGTCTGTCTGCCGAGTGACTCACACAAAGACCTGCTGGTGGGGAGCTACCCATCTCTCCATGCCTACTATCTGGCTGATAGTTCATATCCTCCCTTAAGAACAAGGAAGGGGTGCAGACAGCGCAGTCCTTCAGACTGTCCCGGGCCCCACCTCCGTAAAGGCAACATGCGAGCTGCTTCCCACTTGGAAAAAACAGGCGGGGGCCCAGCAGAGAGGTCTTGGGAGCTATCCTGAAGCCCCAGGAGTCCCTGGCTCAGATTTTTACGACCCCGGGAAGTGTGGAGTCAGAAACTATCCTGAAGCCCCAGGAGACCCTGGCTCAGATTTTTACCACCCCAGATAGCTTAGAGTCAGAAGTGCCCACGGGGAAAACAATGGACGAGTACCACGGGAACATTTTACATTGCTGGCAAGACTATAAGGGTTATATGGACTCTATCAAAGAAGACGGGTGTGACTGGGCCAAAATGACCAGGCCTTATAGCTACCTGCAGGATTGCTTGGAAAAGAATGCAGAATACTTTGGCCTGGGCTTCCCCAATGAACTGGCAGAAGAGTTCATCTTTGAGACTCACCTGACCCACTTTGCCACTTGCTCCCTGGTGCAGCCCACCTTCTCAGATCCCCCAGAGGACGTGCTCCTGGCCATAGCTCCCATCTGCCTCATCCCATTCCTGGTCACTCTTGTGGTGTGGAGGAGTAAAGGCAGTGAAGCCCAGACCCAAGGTGGCATGAGTTTCTCAGTAGCCACCTACTCCTTTCCCCTGCCACCACAATGTCTCCCTCCCTGTCTCCCCACCTCCTTCTCTCACTCACTCCACACAGAGCTTAGATTGGTGGAAATAGAGCTGGGTGGGGTCATGGCACAAGTTTTGTAATTTTCAAGATAAGTTTCTTTTGTAAAAAAAAAAAAAAAAAGAAAGAAATAAGAAAGGTAAAAGGGGAAGAGAGGACTTGAATTTAAAAGGATAATAAACAGCTCTGGCTGGTTTGGCTCAGCGGTTAGAGCATCAGCCTGAGAACAGAAGGGTTTTGGGCTCGATTCCTGGTCAATGGCACATATCTGGGTTGCAGGTTCAATCCCCAGCCCCAGTTGGAGTGGGATCCTTCAAAAGGCAACCAGTCAATGTGAGGGAGGTTTCTCTCTCTCTCCCTCTCTCCCTCCTTTCCACTCTACCTAAAAATTAATGAAAAAATATCCTCAGGTGAAGATTAACAAAAGAAAAAAGGATAATAAACAGAAAACAGAATAAGGGAGGTGGAAAGTACCTGAAATAAAAATCTAATTAGAGCCCTGGCTGGTTTGGCTCAGTGGTTAAAGCATGGCCCACAAACCAAAGGGTTGCAGGTTCAATTCCTGGTCAAGGGCACATACCTGGGTTGCAGGTTCAATCCCCAGCCCCAGTCAGGGCAGGTGCGGGATGCAACTAATCCTTATTTCTCTCTCACATGGATGTTTCTCTCTCTCTCTCTCGCCTTTCTTCTCTCTACAAAATCAATAAAAGCATATTTAAAAAAATAAATAAAAATAGCCCTGGCCGGTTTTGCTCAGTGGTTAGAACGTGGGCCTGCAGTCCAGAGAGACCCGGGTTTGGTTCCTACTAAGGGCACGTACCTCGGTTGCAGTCTGTCCCCGGCCCCCGTTGGGGTTGTGCGGGAGGCAGCTACTCGATGTGTCCCTTTCACGTTGATGTTTCTCTCTCTCTCTCTTCCTCTCTCTCCCTCCCACTCTACCTGAACAAAAATGGAAAAGTGTCCTTGGGGGAGGATTAAATAAATAAATGAATGAATAAACAAATAAAAATAAAAATGTGACTCTGGCTGCAATGCTTAAAGGATTGGAGACAGAAAAAGACTGGAAGAGGAAGGTCAATGAGAAGTTATTACTATAGTCCAGAAAGAAGGACTGGCGGCCAGGCTACTGTTAATGTTAACAACAGCAGGAATGAAGCAAAACACATGTGGTCACCTTTTTGCTTCCGGCATCTCTACCAAGATAAATTTTCCTTAGACAGGATGGGGTGAAACAAGCATTGGTATCCTGCCCAAAATGGACATTTGATAAATTTAAGCAACGAATTAATGGAAACCAAAGCTCAATATGGATGAGAAAATTTAAGAGAATCCCTAACTGTTCTAGGTAAATTTCAGCAAGGTATAGAGATCTAAATGAAATGTCCACGCAGCTGCTGGCAATTGTTCAGCAACTATGGGGAATAAGAGAAGTTGCTAGAAGACTGAAACAGGAAAATATAGTGCTGTTGTTCAAAAAAAGAGAAAGGGGATGCTGCCAACAATTGATCAGTGAAATTAAATGTAACTCTAGACAAAATTCTGGAATGATTACTGAGAGAAGTTTGTGAACACAGAAAAAGTAATAACCAACATATACCCCTGGAAACCAGTAGTTTCATTAAAGATGAGTAATGACAGGCTCATGCTCTTTCCCTGACAGTTTTTGAATTGACAGGATTTTTTAAATGAAGTATAGAAAAGTATCTGGGTTTTAGGAAGGAAATTGTTAAAATTCCTTACATATTCCTTGTGAAAACTTGGAAATACCTGAGATGGATAATAATAAATTAGCAGGATTTCAAATTGGCTGAAGACTTGAACCAAAGAATTAATGAGCTGTGTGTTTTTTTGATCAGTGTTAAGAGAGGACTCTAGCTCTTAGTCCTGTCTAGTCAACATTTTAGTAAGTTTCACATGAAGGCAATGTCAGCACTATCGAACCTATAGTTTATCAAATCTATGGACAAATAAATAAGCCTATTTATTGGATGACAAAATCAGGATTTTGTTTTTAAGTTTTGAATAAAAAAGGGGTTCTGTGGAAAGTAACCTCACAAAGTGATCTAATCATAAATTCCTAATTGGGCAGGTCACAGTGAGCAGTCACCTCCTAGGCATATAACTTCTTTAGTAAAAGATTTATCTTTGATTTAAGCAAGCCTTGTCTATTGTTTCTGTGCACCCAGGTTAATACACCTTTGAAATGCCTGTTTTCAGACCCCTCAAGAAACCACCCTCAAGAGAGTACAGCCTTGCCCAGTTTGGCTCAGCGGTTAGTGCGTTAGCCTGTGGTCCGGAGAGACCCGGGTTCGGTTCCTGCTAAGGGCATGTACCTCGGTTGCAGTTTGTCCCCGGCCCTGGATGGGTCGTGCAGGTGGCAACCACTCACTGTGTCCTTTTCATGTCGATGTTTCTCTCTCTCTCTCCCTCCCTCCCACTCTATCTGAACAAAAAATGGAAAAATGTCCTCGGGTGAGGATAAAAAAAAGAGAGTACATAATCTTTTTTCTTTCTTTATCTTTACCCAAGGACATTTTTCCATTTTTTGTTCAGATAGCGTGGGAGGAAGAGAGAGAGAGAAACATTGACGTGAAAGGGACACATCGAGTGGTTGCCACCCACACGACCCATCCAGGGACAAACCACTGAGCCAAACTGGCCAGGGCAAGAGAGTACATAATCTTGACTATTTTGTAATCTAATCCCCACCTTGCTTTCTTCCACCTTCATGTAATCTTTTTTCCTTTCCTCTTTCCTTAATTCCAAATGCCTAAAAGAAGCTGCAAACTGCCATTCTGGGAAGCATTTTTCTCAGTCTTGAGATCTTGCTTGTAAGTATATCTTCTGTTTGGCTCAAATAAATTATTACAAAAATTCTTTACAGGTTTGGATGTTTTTACATCACCAAAGTCAACAGGTTGGAACCAATCTGACAAGATAAAATTGAATACAGATAAATGTAAAACCCTACCAAAATAATACTGTATTGCCCTGGCCAGTTTAGCTTAGCAGTTAAGAGTATTGGCCTGCAGACCAGAGAGTCCCGGGTTCGGTTCCCCCTAAGGGCACGTACCTCAGTTACAGTTTGTCCCCGGCCCCGGTTGAGGTCGTGCAGGTGGCAACCAGTTGATGTGCCTCTCTCACATCGATGTTTCTCTCTCTCTTCCCTCCTCTCTCCCTCCCACTATATCTGAAGATAAATGCAACAATGTCCTCTGGTGAGGAATAATAATAATAATAGTAATAATAATAATAATAATAATGCTGTATTAAAGACGTGGGAGAGCATGGACAAAACAACCCAAGAATTTTAGCTGATTACAAAATCAATAATAGGCAACATAAATAGCATTTAAATGTCAGGGACCATTCTAAATACTTTACATGTCTGTGTTCATTTATTCTTTGTAACAGCCCTAAAATGGGGTGCCATTATTAACCCCATTTTACAGATGAGAAGACTGAATCCCAAAATGTTTACATAATTTACTCAAGGTCATCCGGCTAATAAACTGTAGAGCCAGGATTTAACCCAGGCAGGCTAGTCTCAGAGTTGGTCTTCTTATACAGGACATTACTTATGAATTGACAGTGTGATGTGGTTGCCAAAGAAGTGTCAACGTAAGAATGTCCAAACCTGTAGAGAATTTTTGTAAGAGTTTATTTGAGCCAAATTTACAACATATGCTGAGGAACAAGATCTCAAATGCTCTGGAGAATAACAGTTTTGCAGCTTCTTTCATGCATTTGAAATTAAGGGGGAGAGTAAGGAAGATGACACGGAGGTGCGTAGGATAGTTAAGATTATGTGCTCTCCCCCTGGCTGGTTTGGCTCAGTGGTTAGTGTTGGCCCACGGACCAATGAGTCGTGGGTTCGATTCTGATCAAGGGCACATACCTCAGTTTGTCCCCGGCCCTGTGTCCCTCTCACATTCATGTTTCTCTGTCTCTCTTCCCCCCACCCACTCTATTTGAAGATAAATAGAAAAATATCCTCCTCGGGTGAGGATTAAAAAAAAAAGATTATGTGCTCTCTTAAAGGTTAATACCCCCTTCAAGGAGATTTATTGCTGATATTTCAAAGGTGTGTTGACCTATATACACAAAAACAATGGACAGGGCTGGATGAAAACCTTTCATTAAAGAAGTTATAGGTCTGGAGCATTACTACTCACCATGACCTGCCCAGTTAGGAATTTATGATCAGATTACTCTGTGAGGTTATTTTCCATAGAACTCCTTTTGTTCATAGCAGCAAGTCTACTCTTAATCTTAAAGAGCATGCCTTAAAACCAGAGAGGTAACTTATGGTCTTCTCTACTGGTTAATATCTAATCTTGGGAACCATACTTTTAAGAATATCGATGAATTTAAATAAACCCATAAATAAGCCATCAGTATTGTGAAGAGGCTCAAATCAAAACAACAAAATCATTAGAAGTTAAAGACTGAGAAGGTTATGTCTAGAGAAGAAGAGTCAGTGGAACATAAGTTATCAGCAAATATTTGAAAACCCACATACAGAAGAGAGTACTAGAACCAGTGACGATAGAACTTTCAGTTCAGCAAAAGAAATAATTTTATAAAAATCAGAGTTGCCCAAATATCTTCACCTGAGAAAGTATGAAACTATGACTCTTCTCTCCAGAAAAATAATATGCAAACACATATAATTTTGCAAAAAATGTCCAAGGGTTCAAAAATCTACTCATGCACCATCCCTAGAGTCATATACCCCAGAGTAAAATGGAAAGGTCAAGGATACAGAGGCAAGTATATTTAAAAATCTTTAGTAGCCTGGCCAATGTGGCTCAGTGGTTGAGCGTCGACCCATGGTCGCTGGTTCAATTCCTGGTCAGGACACATGCCCAGAATGTGGGCCTGATCCCCCGTGGGGGGCATGCAAGAGGCGGCCAATCGATGTTCAGTCTCATGGATGTTTCTATCTCTCCCGCTCCCTTTTTCTCTCTTTAAAAAAAAATCGCCCTGGCCAGTTTGGCTCAGCGGTTAGAGTGTCAGCCTGCAGTCCGGAGAGACCCAGGTTCGGTTCCCACTAGGGGCATGTACCTCGGTTGCAGTTTGTCCCCGGCCCCTTTTACGTCGATGTTTCTCTCTCTCTCCCTCCCACTCTATCTGAACAAAATATCGAAAAATGTCCTCGTGAGGATAAAAAAAAAAGAATAAAAAAAAATCAATGAAGAAAAAATATTTAAAAAAAATGTTTAGCAACTAACTCATGAGTTCACCGGCATCCACTTGGACATGTACTTTCGATTCTCTCGCAGCAGTGCCCTGTGAAACTTGCAACCAGGGGAGCAGTGGGCGGCGCAGTCACTCCCAGGCTTACCCCTCATCCTCCAGGAACTGGAATCCTGGCCTCTTCCTTTTTCGCTACCTAAATAAAACTTGCTTTTGCTCTCAAAAATAATAAAGATAATCTTTAAAATTCATTACAACTTAAAATCCTATGATCTAAAAAAACTCTCAACTCTATGCTTTCTAGTTTCTTCTGAGATCCATTATTATACACATTGAAATAAGAGTTTAAATATGACAGTTAAAAAGAGTCAAGTTTGCCAAGTGACCATATAAACTGAGTAAATTCATAGATTGTATGGCTTATTTTTTAACTTTTAAAAAAATATGCCTAGGCCTGGCTGGTGTGGCTCTGGCTGAGTGTCAACCCATGCACCAAGAGGTCGCTGGTTCCATTCCCAGCCAGGGCACATGCCCAGGTTGTGGGTCAAATCCCCAGTGTGGGGCATGCAGGAGGCGGCCCATCGATGTTCTCTCTCATTGATGTTTCTGTCTTTCCCTCTGCCTTCCACTCTCTGTAAAATCAATGTAGAAAAAAAATATATACCTAAGTTTAAAGATAAAAAATAAGATGCGAATGTACTACTCAATACCTAATATTTAATGGTCAAATTCGAAATTTCCCTCCTCTGCTTTTAAAACTTCATCTTGCCCTGACCGGTGTGGTTCAGTAGATAGAGTGTTGGACCTTACACCAAAGGGTCACAGGTTCGATTCCTGGTCAAGGGCATGTACCTGGGTTGCAGGTTTGATCCTGGCAGAAAGGCAACCAATCTATGTGTCTCTCTCACAGTGATGTCTCTGTCTCTCTCTCTCCCTCTCTCTATCACTTCCTCCCTTCCTCCCTTCCACTCTCTCTTAAAATCAATGGAAAAAATATCCTTGGGTGAGGATTAACAACAATAACAACAAAAAACCTTCATCTTAAACTTTCCCTTTCCATTCTTTGTTCCTGGTTAACTGTTAAGACTGACAGACCAAGAAACAATCTAATTCACTACCTTTGCCATGAATTTAATTCTGATTTAGTCCATCTCCTCATCATGTTCCGAAAACTTTCATATACCTAAAAGGGCCTTTTAAATGGTGAAATGCTATGTAACTATAAATAACTCTCATGTATTATTTCTAAAACAAATTATCAACAGCAAGAAAACAAAGCCAGTCTTTCTATCATGTTAAAAAAAAAAAAAAGCAAATGTATATTCACATCTCAATTCCTAGTTATAAAAAACAATCTTTGAATCCATAGGGTGTGTTTTAATGTATGCTTTTCATCCACAAGTGCTTTCTACATTCAATTTCAAGTTGTATTGAGAGGACATAGCTCAGACAGTTATGAATTTTGGCAGCAAAGGAAAAACTTGAAGGTGCTAGTGGACTATACACATTTACAAGAGTTGGAGGGAAAGTTACATGATCACAAAATGGTCATTAAAGTATTACACACTTCAAAAAGCTGTTTTCTTTCTTAAATCACTAGAAATAAAGAGAACTAAAACATTAAGAGTTTAATAAGTCTTGAGCCTTTATTAACAAACATAAGTACCACATTGCTGAAATTGCAATTGTCCTGCCAGAACAGCACTACAGAGACACCATGTCTACCATTAGACTCAAGATACAGGCACAAGATGTTCTAACAAATAACACACATCGAGAGCCAGTACACAAGTATGAGAGAATCCAGGCTCTAGGCATTTGATTTTTCTCCTTGGTGCTACTTGAAAATGGACACAGCTATTAAAAATTTATTATAGTAATAGGATAATGATCAAGGTTTAGCTAAATTATACCCCAATCAATGAAATGGAAAAGCAACATGCACTATCAGATCAACTAAATTATTTTATATTTAATTTTGAACAGACAGGTCATGAATACACTGTATAGAGAACAGATGAATAACGTCGATTATATTTATCAAGTGAAGATGATTTCAAGCCATTAAGAGGGGAAAAAAAGTGGCCCAGAAAAAATTACGCTGTAGAAGTCAAATGAAAAAACAAAACAAAACAAAACAAAACAAAAAAGAAGGTTTGGGGGAGGAAGAGAATGAGCTACTGACTTAATAAAAAGAGAGCAAATAAGTGGGATAGGGAGCCTGAGCCCTTTGAGATAGAATAAGGAAGAGAGAAGTATTCAAAGGCTTAAAGGGAGCTTCAGCAGTGAATATGGAAACGGATGAGCCTGTTAACTGTTTCAATAGAAAAAGAGAAACAGTACAGGGAACTTTTCTGAACCAGCATTCAATCGTAGTCAATAATAAAAATGCCTAACTCATGCTTGGCACTTAGTATGTTGTGAGCTTTGTTCCAAATGCGTTCCACAGATTAGTCCATTTACTCTTCGTAACACCCTGCAACACCCGCCAACACCCCGAATAGGCAGTTACTACTATTTTAGAGATGAAGAAACTGAGACCACACAATGTTAGATAACACAAGTTGGTGCCAGAGGCAAAGCGCTCATCCACTTAGCTGAACTGTTTCTCTGCGAGATCCTACAAAAACCTTCATATTTTCATGGCTCTCTGGAATTTCTCAAAGGAGTCTGGGCCCAAAAAGTGATCCTCGACTTTGGAGAAAAGTTCCTTTATGGGGGATATGAGGTTCATCGCAAGACACAACACTTTGGAACTCTTACATACACCTAGCAGAGACAGATGGAGGCATGTGGGTCATGACAGGAGGAAAAGTCAGAAAACGGGACTTAGAAGCCATCCTTCTCCCCTGGGAAGACAGAGAACGTAGAAAGCAGCCCTTCCTCTCCTCTACGAGGCGTGACTCAGGGACACTGCCTCCCCACAATTTGCAGTGTGTGTGGCCGGGCCTGGAAGGATGCGTGGTTATAAACAGATAGGACTCGGGTGACAAGGGGCCCCGAGGCGCAGGGAGGGAAACCTGCCCAGAAGCACGCCCGACTGGGTCTAGAGGCCCTCTGCATAGGTGCCGACGCCCTCGCCCCATACCTTACCCCCGCTTGGCTGCAGAGGACGAGGTGGCCACGCAGGGCGTTCTTGCGAGCCTGGGGCACCCGTGCTTGGCGGCGGCCCGGTCCCGGCGGTCTCACACTCGGGGCAGGGGTGGGAGATCCGCGGCCTGTCCAGTCAAGGCCCCGGAGTTCGAGGCCCCAGGACGCCGACCGTGCGCGCGCCCTCGAGCTGCCCAAAGAGGAAGGGTCAGGGCGCGCCCCGCGTGCCGAGCAGCGGCAGCCGCTGCAGGCGAAATCGCTGGCGGCTCGGTCCGCCCGCACCCGGCCCAGCCACTGCCCCGCTTCCCCCGCGCGAGCTTTGGCGGCGGAGCAGCACGGTGAGCGACGATTGGCCTGTGGGATGAGTAACGTAAGGCGCCTCTCTCCACCGATTGGCCGGGTCGGCGGTGCGTGCAAGGAGTAAACAAACCCCGCCCCCAAGCTTCCCAAAGAGAGGAGGGGGCGGCGAGGTGAAGGGGCGGGGCCGCGAGATGAAGGGGTATTCTGCTTCAGCCTCGGGCCGCCCAGCGAAGTCCCCTGCAGTGACCCCTCACCCGGCTGCCCAGCCTCCCGGGTGGGCTGCAGGCCTGAGGCCTAAAATTTATAGGCACGCCTTTCTCCCCCTCCACTGCCCCAGGCTTGACTCTCCCATCCGCCCCATCCCCAAGGCACTGAAGCAGGAAAACCCCATCTCTTTAGTCCTCGAAGGATCGCCCTCAGGAGCAGGGGGCAGGGGAATAGGGTCAGTGACTGTGAGGCCAAGTGTAGGGGCAAGTGTGGGGCACCCTGTAATTATTCATACAGTGGGTTAGAGACCTCGGGGATGTGGGTTCTTGAATAGGCAAGTAAGATCCAAATTAAGTCACGATGTCAAGTGGAAGCTGAAGAGAAAATCGTGGCACATAACCCCAAATGCCTGTCCCTTTAATTCCATATTAAAACATTTATCTATTAATTCTGTGCCTATGTGAAAAATTGTGTGTGAGCTTACACTCTAGTAGCATGGGAAAGACAGTATGCAAAAGAAATAAGCAAGATATAAGGTATGTTACATGATGCTACATGCTACAGGAAAAAACAAACAGAAGGTGTTTAAGAGATGGCTTGTGTTTAATAGGGTGCTATTTAGGTAAATACCTAATGGAGGTGAGGGAGGTTAGAGAGCACCTTCGACCTTTCTCTGGGGTGGGGTGGAAGACAATTTCTGTATCATTGTTCATAGATAAATTCCTAGGAGCTCAAGAATGCCAAATGCAGCACTGCTCTGACTGATTCTAAATCGCAAAACCCCAGTGGAGTGACTGATTACTTTAGGTTGCCTGGTAACAAATCAATAGGATTTATTTAGTTTCCACAGAAATTTTGTTAAGGTTTCAAGGCAACAAATATTTTTCACACACTCTAGGCACAAAGATACAAAAATGAGCAAAACAGACAAAACCTCCACCCTCAAAGAACTCAATCTAGCAGGGGACATGGATTGTAAACCACCACAACACAATGGGTCAACAACCATAATAGAAGTGGACACACACAGCACTGCCGCCAAGGGCAGGGTAGGGGGGACCCGTTGGGTTGGTGTTATTAATGAGCTATAACTCTCTCAGAATCTCTTTGTCTATAAAGAAAATTCAGTAGCTAAAATTTGGAATAAAGCTATGGCTATCAGGGATTCTCTGTTTATAAGAGTCTAAGAGTCTGAAGATAATATTAAGTTGAACCATATGAAATTGCTAATATTTGGCAATTTTCATTTTACTTAACTTAGTCTCTCATAGAGTTAACATGAGGATTTTGCTATGTAATGCACATAGTTAGTGTTCAATAAATGATGGCAATTATTATGATCATTTGATAATATTTCTTTTGAAAAAAAAAAAGATTTAAAAGTCAATGTTTTATAAAACCTTCCAATGCTATGCACAAAGTAAAATGGGCAGTGAAAGTCTAAAATTTTCCATTTTGATTTAGCTGTGTTTGATCTAGCTGTTTTCCAGTTTGATCTAGCTGTGAATTTCCATGACCTAATCAGAGTATGCTGTAAAAGACACTAAATGCTAGTTTCACAGCAGGCCAAGAAATTTAGAATAAGAAACAGCTTGGTTTTAAAAGCCAAAAACTGAAAATTCTCCAGAACAGAATAAATTGTCAAGTTGCTTCAGGGAGAAAAATTCATGTAAATCAATTTTTCATTCCCACTCACAGTTCCAATTTAGCAATTTGCACAACAGTCAGCTTTCTCTCTTCCTTCTCATTTCCCCCTTAAGGGATCTTATTTCCTTTGAACAGAAAAATAAAGCTTCCACCATCTCCAGTGCCAGAGAGTAGATGTTTGAAACATGACAGAACACTTATTGATTCAGCAAACACTTATTGTATGCCAAGAACAGTGCAAGGCATTGGAAATACAAACATAAATGTCCAAAAAACTCCGTTCATAGGTGGTATTCTTTGTGCTTCGAACAATCTCCCAGTTCACCCACACCTCACCTACATGTGCTTTCACATAAGCTTAAACAACACTTTCTCCGGAAAAGTTTCCTTTGACTCTCCATCTCCAGCTCTTTTCCCATTAAATCCTGTTTGTCTTTCTAACATTCATCAAACTTGTAATTGCTCATTTGGTATCTGTATCCTGTTAGACTGTAAGCTCCTTGAGATCTGGAGCCATGTCATCCTACTCACTATCCTCAGTACTTAAGAGAAGTTCTGTAAGTTTTTATTGAATAGATGAGAGTGCCACCACCTAGCACAGTCGGAAAGAGGAGAGAGGCATACATAAATAAAGTCTCTACTTGTAAATATTCGGGCCAACAAAGAGAGGGCCATGAAAGAAGCAGATCTGTTACAGTTCAACTGAGGAATTTCCACGCGCTGCCCCTCTCCTGGTGCTGGATGCTGCTTTCTGGAGGTGAAGCCGTAGGACTCCTGGACCTCTCAAACTGCAATGTACACAGCAGTCACTGGAGATCTTAAGAAAAATCTGACTCTGAATCAGTAGGTCTGAGGTGGGGTGTAGGGTCTGCATTTCCAACAAGCTCCCAACCGGTGCTGATGCTGTTTCACCACACTTAGTAACAAGGTCCTTAGGGGCACCTTTTTCTTTAAATTACACACCTTGAATTTTAAAAATTAAATGTATTGGAGTGACATTGGTTAATAAAATTGTATAGGTTTCAAGTGCACAATTCTATAATATGTCATCTGTATATTGCATTATGTGTTTACCATCCAAAGTCCAATCTCTTTCCATCATCATACATTTGACCCCCTTTACCCTTTACCACCGCCCTGCCCCCGTTTCCCTCTGGTAACCATCATACTGTTGTTGTGTCCATGAATTTTGTCTGTCTGTTTGTCTTGTTCATTTGTTGCTTTCAGCTTTACATTTCACATATGAATGAAAGCATATGGTTAGTGGTATCTTTTTATCATACAAACAAAACGATCTGTAGTTATCTGGATAGTTGCATATGTGACTTTTTTTTTTTTAAAGCCTCTAATTTTCACACCTAATCTATCCAGTGACTAATAAAAGAAAGAACGTTTAAGAGAAAGAGGTGTTAAATCAAGGCCTTGTCTCCCAGGGACAGTCCTGTTATGGGCAGTTCAATCACATTAGTAGGACAAAGTAGAATCAAAGCCTCGGAATTTCCTCAGCAAGGGCCACACCTTCTCCTCAGTTCATTCTGGAATGACTTGGTTAGGGCACTGAAAGAATTTCACAGTCATCTTTAATAAAAGCAACCTCTTCTTAATATCAAATCTAAAACTTTTCATGATAAAATATTTTACTTATCTTAAAAATATAAAGTAGCCCTGGCTGGTTTGGCTCAACAGTTAGAGCATCGGCCTGAGGTCCAGAGAGACCCGGGTTCGGTTCCTGCTAAGGGCGCGTGCCTTGGTTGCAGTTTGTGCCTGCCCCTGGTTGGTCGTGCGGGTGGCAGCCACTCGATGTGTCCCTTTCACATCGATGTTTCTCTCTCTCTCTCTCCCTTCCTCTCTCTCCCTCCCACTCTACCTGAACAAAAAATGGAAAAATGTCCTCGAGTGAGGATTAAAAAAAATATATATATATGTATATGCACATATATATATATAAAGTAAATGTGAAGTATATGGAATAATGATAATAAATAAACCCTCATGTACCAGCTTAAGAATAAAATATTAATGGCAATGGAGCCCTGTGTGTTCTTCCCCAATGGGCCCCTCTGCCTCCCCTCACCTCAAATAATCATGTCCTAAATGATAATTTATTTTGTTTTCTTTATCATTTTAACACATATACATGTAACTTCAAGCAATATATTGCTGAACTATATGTGTCTGGGTTCAGACTTTATTATTCATCTGCAAATTTTTTTTGCTGAACATTTTGTTTAAGAGAATCATCTGTCTTGATGGATGTAGTTCATTCATTGTCACTGACGTAAAAATAACAAAATCTGCATAGTCCATTCTCTTTTTGATAGACATTTGGGTTTTGTACCTTTTGTTTCTATTCTGCTGTTATGAATATTCTTGTACACGTCTTCTTTGTACATGTGAACGTTTCTATAGGGTCTTAGTCATGTACGGGGGTGGGGTGGGAGTCAAAATATTTAACAACTGATAATTACACAATCTTTGCTTGTTCTCTTTCCCCACTCCCACTGAGACAACTTCTTATGTGCAGGTAAT